AATCATTAGGAAAAATGAATCTGTGTGTCAGCTCCTAACATTCCTCTTTTGAAACCTAGGTTGTATTTGCAACCCCAGGTATGCTTCATGCCGGACAGTCCCTTCAGATCTTCAGGAAATGGGCAGGGAATGAAAAGAACATGGTAAGAAATTCTGTGACCTTGAATGATGCTTCATATTGATGTGTGGGGCTACACTCCAGTCGTTTTAGAAATAAACTGCCTATATTGGCAGGAGAGTCTTTTGCATGCATCTTTCCTTTATCAGCTGTTATCTAAACGAGTCATCAGTTAGTAATAACCGCTGACTGACTAACTTTATTTAATTAAAGCATGATTTAAAAATGCTTTTTATGACTGGCACATTGCATTTGGACCAACGCTGGGCTCTGAAATTAGTGGATGTTTAGCCATTGGCTTCACTGGGGCCAGGATTTGTCTCTGTTGGACAAGGACTCACCCTTTGTGTCTTTGGGGAACAGATGCAGCTTGATGGTTTAATTACTGTGCATGAACATGATGCATTCAGTTCTGATGGCATGTCTACATTCCAGACTTCAGTCGACCTATGTTAGATACCACATTGTGCTTCAATTAGGAGGAAAAAATTAGTATTAACTCCTTACATGCTGCTGTGATCCATGCGTGGGGCCGCCTTATCGAGTATCCACGCAGGTCAACTTTTACAAAGGGAACACTGGCTATGAAAACCGTCGATGGTGAATAGCGGTGGAACTGAGTCACGCTCTGAAAGCTTAGCCTGCTCTGGTGGCCTTGAGGGGATATTGATATCCTTATTGAGAGAGGGTTTGTGTCCAAAGGCTGGCCGTGACCTTTGAAACCCATAAAGTGACATTCCTCAGGTTTGAGACTGTGGAACCACTTACTGAATATTTAGAAGGTCTTTTAAAGAAGCCTTACTTTCGAAGGAATCCCATGAAACTGAATGATAACCAGGCCCTTATAGTCGGGGAGAGAGGGATTCCCTGAGGAATTGACACTGGTACAGTTCTGTTAGCTCAAGTTTTTGTGACTGTTAAAATGTTGCATTGTTGGCAGTAGACTCGGAAAGGATGAGTGGTGCAAGATTTTATGTTATGGAAATGTATTTTCAGCTGTGCTTATCTGTTCAAAGCTGTCTGTTTACCCATGACTAGTAATAACCCTTGTTTAGTAACATGTGGATTTTAACAGAAGCCGCCTTTTTAATTTGATCTTAATGCTTGTGCCATACTCGGGTCTTTATCATGCAAGATGCTGAGGGGCATAATTGAACAGAATAGATTCAGTAGCTTCTAAACCAGGGGTCGGCAACCTTTCCGAAGTGGTGTGCCGAGTCTTCATTTATTCATTCTGATTTAAGGTTTCGCGTGCCGGTAATACATTTTAACGTTTTTAGAAGGTCTTTTTCTCTAAGTCTATAATATATAACTAAACTATTGTTGTATGTAAAGTAAATAAGGTTTTTAAAATGTTTACGAAGCTTCATTTAAAATTAAAATTAAAATGTAGAGCCCCCGGGACCGGTGGCCAGGATCCGGGCAGTGTGAGTGCCACTGAAAATCGGCTTGTGCGCCGCCTTCGGCACGTGTGCCATAGGTTGCCTACCCCTGTTCTAAACAAAGAGCTGTGGTATACATGTCGGGAACCATGGAAACTTGCCATCAGCGATATACAGGTGGATGTGCGGCTAGTTCTGTCCCAAGAGAACAACTTACTCTAGCTCCATTCAGTGTGCAAATGCTACATATTTGTCTGGATTCCTTCCAGGTCATTATGCCAGGTTACTGTGTGCAAGGAACTGTGGGTCATAAGATCCTGAGTGGACAGCGGAAGCTAGAAATGGAAGGAAGACAAATAGTAAGTTAATTTTGAAAGGGCACCGCTGACTTTCAGGGGACTTGCACATTGCACTGCCCTGTGTCGGTGAAAATCTCTCCCTGTGTTGATATACATTTTAGCCAAAGTGATTGAATTAGTTCCTTTGGTGGCGCTGATAATGATTTGCATTCTGCTGCCATCCTTCCACATGTGGACCCACAACTACAGTCAGTGGGAGTTTGGCTACATGGGCAATGGCTGAACAATTGCCCCATAAATCTCTTACCCTGCTGAAATCATTGTAGCTGGGGCCCAGAGACTTTAATGGATGTTTACTTCTATATGGAAAAGTACATAAATCACCTGTACCCCGTGAGGTAACTGTCACATAGATTCCTGCTGAAAGGGACATTGCAGCTGGTAATCAACATCCTTACAAGGTGATTTTCTTTGGGCAAAGCTGAGACAGGGGTCGCTTGCTGGAGGATTCTCAGCGATTTGAAGTCTTTAAATCATGATTTGGGGACTTCAATAGCTGAGTCAAGGGAGAGAATTCTTCCAGGAGTGGGTGGGTCAGCTTTTGTGGCCCGCATCATGCGGGAGGTCAGACTAGATGATCATAATGGTCCCTTCTGACCTTAGAGTCTATGAGGAAGTGTATCCAGAATTATAAAGTCTGATCCTGCAAGGTACTAACTGCTTTCCTTGTATGGTGCTGACTTTTGTCAACTGCCCCTGAAGTTAAGGATCTGGCTGTCTCAATTGTCCCACTTTCTGATGTAGGTGTCTTGCTCACTCCAGTTACACGCAGATGCTGAGAGCTCTGGTTTAGTTACTGCGTGGCTTGTAAGTTGTGAACAGGCAAAGCAAGTAGTGATGGGGGATGGTTTGTGTTTGCTTCTCCCCTTGGTCCCTGCAGCTGGAGGTGAAGATGCAGGTCGAATACATGTCCTTTAGTGCCCATGCTGATGCCAAGGGAATAATGCAGCTGATTCGCCAGGCCGAGCCACGCAGTGTTCTTCTGGTTCACGGGGAAGCAAAGAAGATGGAGTTCCTGAAGCAGAAAATTGAACAGGAATTTCGTATGTAAGGTGTTGGGCTCTGGAGGGTGGTGGGGAGGATTAGGAGTGGAAGGGGGAAGGATTAATTATTTTTATAGTTCATGTAGTTTGGCCAGGACGTTAAATCTAGTTGAATAACATGTTTTGATTGGCTTAAGTACTGAAAAGTCCCTGTGCTGGAAGCAAATGGGTAGGATGACTCTCCAGATGGCGTGTTTTGCAGTGAGCCCCTGCTGCAGGTTTAGTGATCTCTGGGGACCAGTCAGATGCAGTGTAGTCGAAGAAATGGAGAGTTATTGCATGTGTGCATGTATAAACAGGGAGTTAGTTCTGTAAGCTGTGCCTCTTGGACTCCTAAAACCAACAGAGACTAGTGGGGAAAAGTTCTTTCATGTTTATAATTCTATACTACAGACTTAAGTTACAGTGAACAAGAATAGCGGAAAAATAAAAACCTTTTTTGAAAGCAGCTGACTTTAAGGCTAGGGGGAGAATGATCAATAAAGAGATCATTGTGTATCACTCTCGGGATGCTTATTCATTGGGTGCATTTTCCCAATAGTTTCAGGTGACTTTTGCATTAACTTGTTTTTATCATGGCTGTAAGTTCTGCTGCAGCCTGGGATCGTTTCAGCTCTCGCATACTCTCCAAGCCTCAGGTTGGGTGGGAGTTCCCCAAAGGAAGAAACACATGCTGCTAAATGAAGTGTTGCTGGTGATTCAACAAGTAGCGTTGTTCCCTTTGTGGGAATCTGTGCTGTCTTCCACGGGAAAAAGTTTAAAAAAAAAAAAAAAAAAAGGCCGTGGCTACTTGTGATTAACAATCCCATGGAATTTACCATGATTAGAGGTGTTAACTCTGGTCTCCTGGCAAGATTCAACTATACTGGTTATTTGAATTACTCTTTCAAGTTTCAATTGATTATAATGTTCTTAGTCCCTGTCCCAAATTGTTGTAAAGGATTGCTGTTAAACACCTGCCATGTTCCACTCTAGCCATGGGTGCAATGATAGTCCCCGTATAAAAAGTCCTTTGGGATTAGAAGCTGTAGATGGATGTTTCTTCAGTATTGTTTGGCTTTTAATACAGATGTGAACTGTTACATGCCTGCAAATGGAGAAACCACTACATTGTTCACCAGCCCCAATATACCAGTGGACATTTCCCTTGGATTGTTGAAGAGAGAGAGTGCCATAGGTAATACACCCGTTAACAATGACTTTCCCCTTTCAGGTACTGCAATTCTAGTACATCTTATGTTTTTACTGCTGAATGTACGATTATGCATGGATGTGTGAGAAGGGGATGTTGTGGACACATTTATGTGATCTCCCATATAATGGAGCTTCATAACTAGTCATTGGTTGAAAGAGGCTTCTGGTGGGATGACGTGGATTTCACCTGCCAATGTATCCTCATTCAGAGCGTATTCACTGTTTTTTAAAAGCCCCATGCAGGAAAGTCACAGAGACACAGAATGGGGCTGCCCTGCTATTCATCACTAATGCACAATGCAGAGAGATGACATGTCAGTTTGCTTAATGGATAAAAATGCATATTTCAGTGGGCCAGTTCCGCCCCCACTGGAATTACAAGATAACCTGGTTTTAACCCCCCCCCCCCCAAACTTCTATCTAAAGCAAGGAAGCGCCATGTGCTGCAAGATCAAGAAGAGAAAGTCAATGTTGCTGAGAGTGATTTGCCTCATCCCCATGAAGTTGCCAACTGGTTTAAGTACATGGTTTGTAAAGGGTCTCTGCCCAGGTTATAAGACCATAGACTAGACCTACTGCATTTCAGTTGAGGGGCTGGCAGTTCAGACCCTCTTCTCACCATGGCCGTGCAGTCTGTTAGATCCTAAAGTGTTTTACTATGTTTGTATGAAAGATAAGCACAAGAACATTAATGACTTTGCCCTTCTTTTCTGTTGGTCCCACTCTAGGTCTTGTGCCAGATTCCAAGAAGCCAAAGCTCATGCATGGCACATTAATCATGAAGGATAACGTAAGTGAAAAGGAGATTACTCTAGTACAGGGATTCTCAAACTGGGGGTCGGGACCCCTCATGGGGTCACGAGGTTATTACATGGGTGGTCGCGAGCTGCCAGCCTCCACCCCAAACCCTGCTTCACCTCCAGCATTTACAATGGTGTTAAATTTATAAAAAAGGGTTTTTAATTCATAAGAAGGATCACGCTCAGAGACTTGCATGTGAAAGGGGTCACAGAGAACCTCGGTGTTGTGCTCAGTCCTACAGCTCAGCAGTGACCACTCTAAAGTGTTGTGAGGCTGTGAAGGAAATCCAGATGTATGAGAATTCCCAGCCTCTCAACTGCCAAGGTTGGTAGAGATCAGAGCAACCCAGAGGCGTGGCACTCTGTCTCTGGAAGAGGACACTGGAGCCATAGCTAACCACTCCACAGAGCCACTTCCAATCAAGTTCTGCTTTTTGTCATGCTCTTGACTCCTGCTGCCATACCGGATGCATTTACCGTCTGGTCCACGTCAAGAGAGCTTATCCTTTGCCTCATGGCTGTGGTCCAACTCACTCTCGTCATACAGGAGGGTTGTGCCAACTTTTATCCATAGAGCAGCTGTGCTTGAAGGCAGGTTTGGAAAATGGGGAATGTATAACAGATAGAGGTGTTTATATAAATAAATCTGTGTACACACATCTAGCTAGCTGCTGCTGGTGGTGGCATTGTCCACAGTGTGCTAGGCCATTTAAAAAGGCAGGGTCCATGACCCAAGAAACTCTGTGTGGTTGTCCTTTAGCTCTATAGAGAGCTACCTAATAATGAAAAAAGCACTCTGGAGCAATGTGAACGGCAGCCTGCGATTAATGGATTTCTCCCTTCCCTTGGCAGAGCTTCCGCTTAGTCTCTCCCGAGCAGGCACTGAAGGAACTGGGTCTTGGGGAGCATCAGCTGCGTTTTACCTGCCGAGTCCACATTCAGGATCCTCGCAAGGAGCACGAGATGGTGCTTCGAGTCTATAATCACCTTAAGGGGTAAGCGTGCCACAGGCTGTTGAACAGCTGCTGTTCCAAACCAGCTGTGTGTAGCTGGGGAATGTTAATAGGTGACAAAGATTCCAGTGACTAAAATGTAGATAATTCCGCTGGCCCAGCCCCTGAGGATTGGTTTATGCAGACGAATAGGAACCAGAATTTTTTACTTCAGGATCTCGCCTGTCCTTTTCAGACAGGTCAGAAATCAAGCCCTGTGGAACTATATGACTTTCTAATGATTAATATTCAAAGTCTTGCCTTTTTGTAAGTCCTGTTCTGCCCTCCTCAGCTGCTGGGTATTGGCTTACGCTCCAGCCAGGGAGTCTGTGAGGTGCAGGCGTTCTCTGTACTGATGCACTGTTTGTAGGAGCTAGGTCTGTGTAGTCAGATGCCCACTTGAGTACAGAACAGGACTGCATAATATACCTTCCATCTTCCTAGAGTCCTGAAAGATTATTCTGTTCAGCATCTCCCTGACGGATCTATCATGGTGGAGTCCATTCTGATCCAAGCCACAGCACAGTCAGAGGACCAAGGAACCAAAGTTTTGCTGGTGTCATGGACATACCAGGTAAGAATAAATGTCATGTCGAAAACACACATTCACAAAGTGATTCCGGTTAGCTCTGTTCTAACTTGGGCCTGTGGTGGGGGTTGCAGTTATAAGAATCCGTTTCCAGAGGAAGTGGGTTATTGCAGCGAGGGAACAGAAAAGAGCTACTCCAGCTTTGAGTTTGTTTGAAAAGAGGAGTTTGTTGAGCCACTTCGGCTAGGTCTGTGCGGCACGTGGGAGGTGTAACTCCATGCCCAAGCTGCCACCGACACAGCTGTTTTTAGTGCACTAGCTCGCGCTGAGCTAGCATGATCGTCTGTCTGGGCTGGGAATCTCACCTCTCAGTTGCAGTGTAGACACCTCCTTAGAGCTTGTGGAAACAACGTCTTAGTACAGGGGCACTATAGATTTACACCCCAGCATGCCATGCCATGACTCGCTGGAGTCACCTCCTTTCCTTAAGCTTTCCCCCTAATAAAACTACCTTTCCAGGAGCACCATCTCCTGAGTCTACTCCCCCTGTGGGCACTGGAAACAAAATCATCAACCACCCTAAAATCGATGGCCTTACTTATTTTTGGCTATTTCTAGTATCCTGGCCCTAGTCAGGGTGGAGTACTGGTAGCAGAGGGAAGGTTGGAGCGGGGGTTTGTATGAACAATTTGAGGTGTGACTAGCATACATATCATCAACAGTCTCAAACTTGCTGACTAGCAAAAAGCTTGCCCTAGCAGAGTCACTCATGTTTAAGTTCAAGGATAGAGTTCTCTAGTGCCTAGGTTTTGTGGGTTTCCAAAGGCTTTTCTTTAGAGGGGAAATTTTTCCTGAGAGCAAAGCAAAAATCAATAGTCCTTTCTTTGCTCTTAAGAAAAGAGACATCTGTTGTCTCAGGGCCCCCGTACTTTGTTACTGCCAAGTCTGCGATTTTGGAAGAATAAACTCCCATTTGTCAAACTATCAGAAATGGATTCAGGCCAAACAATTCTGAAACCGTACTAATTTTAGGGGGTTGGGGATCTGGATTTTTGGTTTAGTCCTGTCAAAAGAGCAGCCTTTGGTGTGCTGCCCTAAATGAGAGAGTGGAGTGGGGGTGTTGCCACCTGACCTATTTCTGATGTCTGTGTATAGGATGAAGAACTGGGCAGCTATCTTACCTCCCTATTGAAAAAGGGACTGCCACAAACTACAGCTTGAGTGACGCAGCAATGGGGAAAATGAAACTTCAGAAGCCTTCCAAGTTCACCTCTGTTTTTTATATTATCCAAAGCATGTAAATACTTAAGTTGTTTTTTTTAAATAAAGACAAGGTCTATTGTAAAATATCCTGCAGTAGAGAGTATCAAACTATTCAGACAAAATTTTGCTTTAGCAGCACTGCTATCCCCCACTGGCAAAGTCAGTCACAAATATCAATTACTGGGCAAGCTGTTTGTATCAAGTTACCTGGAGCAGCTTCGTCTGGTATTCCTTGTAGAGCAAGGTAAGAGATTTTCAAAGTCTCTCCATTCACATTTATTTTTGTAATATTAAAAAGAACATTCTGATGCCAGCACTTTGCTTTTTCCACATACTTAAGTACAGCACAGGCCGATGCTCCTCTTAACAGCGTTTTAATTCACCCGGCCACCTTTTGAAGCTTGTGAACAAAATGATTCAATTATTTTGTTGTTTCTGCATTGAACGTAAGGTCAGCTGTCAACTTTAACAGTACAGAACACTGATAGGGGGTTAGAACTTAAAAGTAGGCCTGAGGGATTAAAACTAAGCATAATATTTAAGCAGTTACTTATCCATTACCGCATATGCATACATGGCTGTGAACAATAGGAAGAACGTCCCTCAGATATAAAGCAAAGCTAACTTTCACAGTGTTCAGCAAAGAAAGGGACAACACCGAGGTACTTGGCTATTCCCATTTTATAGATGGGCAGATATTCAATGTCCTGCAAAGCAACTGGATTAGAACCTAGCCCTCTGAGTCCCAGTCCTTTGTGCTAGACACTTGACCAGTCTGTCTCAATAGCAGTTAAAGGATGCAGATGATGAAATGACTGTCAAGTAGTCGGTATACCAAACCGTACTGGTGCAGGTCCATTAGTTTGGATCATTCATATATCATTTGTCAACTATTAATAAATCAAATATTTCATACTATACACCGACTTATTCTTATTGTTCTTATTCTACAAAGATTTTAAATAGCAGAAAGCCAGTTGCTCAGTTTACTTTGTTTGGAAAGTGGTGCCATTATAGGCTAATTTCCAAAGGATTTTTTTTTGTATTGCTTAATAAGTAACACTGAAGTGGAAATATTGCCATACATTCTTGACACTCTTCAGTTTTCAGAGCTGTTGATCCCAACTAAAGTCCTATTTATACACAACACAGGCATCTCAGCTAATGTGTTGTCTTTTATCTTCATGTAGTCTGCTGTGCCAACGCTTGCCAATTAACAGACTTTTGGAGGGGGCGAGGGTCGTAACAGACTCTAGTTTCCTAGGAAGTGGACTGACACCACCAACAAATTCAATTCATAGTCCCTGCCCTAAAGAGTATGTGTATACAGCACCTGATCTCACCTGAATCCTCCTCCTCCTCCAAGTTCAGGTGGATTTGAACCCGTAACCTATGGGTGAATCACTTACTGACCTTGTTTTAAAAAAGGCAATTCATTCAATTGCTGTGTTGGTGGTCTTGTTGTTGGCTTGCTTTTATAAGGATAGTCATTGAATTTTCTGTCACAAATGGTATAAACCTTGGTTTTGGATCTGAACTTGAGGCCGAGATGCCATGGCTTGCTGGAAGACGTGAAGTAGTATAGGATGGGGTTCAGGCAGCAGTTGAAACTGACCAGGGCCAAAGTGACCCGGCGCATTTTGTAAATTAAGTTGGTAAACAGGCAACTTTGGATGAGTTGGACCCTCATCAGGAAGTGGAGTAGGTGAGTGAGATGATAAGGAAGGAAGCACAGGATGGAGATGAGCAGGATCAGGTAGATGGTCCTCAAGGCCTTCTTCTTGTGAATGCTGCGTCTGGTGTGGGCGATCCGCTTGGCGATGAGAGGGTAGCTGATGAGGATGACGGCAAACGGGATGACAAAGCCAAACAGCAAGGCACAGACATTGTAGGGCATCATGCGATGGGTCCAGCTAGTCAGCGAGAAGTTCTCAAAGCATGCGGTCTTGTTCTCTGTGCCCTTGTTGTGAAGGGGCCCCCCAAGGATAAGCGGGATCATGATGCTTGCAGCAACGAGCCAAAAGACGGTGACCACTATCCTGTAGTGGGTGACTTTGATCCGGATGTAGGTGAAGGGGTGCAGCACGGCCACGTAACGATCCATGCAAATGCAGGTGAAGAAGGCAATGCTGACGTAGATGTTGATGTAGTACAAGGCCCCAGTGATCCTACAAGCCATGTCTCCAAAGATCCAATCGTTCTGGTTCAGGTGGTAATGGATTTTAAAGGGCAATATACAAACAAACAAGGTATCTGCTACAGCCAAGTTGATGAGGTAGATGTAGGAATGCGAGGTGTGCTTGACCTTGCAGGTCAAAAAGTAGAGAGCCAAGACATTTTCTAGCAGTCCCAGTACAAAGACAATGCTGTAGATGATAGTGAAGAGATGGTACTGGAAGTCTGCTTCCACACAACAATCAACTATGGTTGCATTCGAGTGTCCCCTGGCCATGGTACAGGAAGTGTTTGCCATGCTTTCTGCTGCAGGAGAACAAGTTCTGTGGGGAGAGCCTAGATTATCCTCTTTTTTCCAAAGCTGCAGGAGCTCTCTGTCCTGGGGTGAGAACTCGAGGTGTGGTGTTACATCAGCCAGCTCTGGTTAAAATGCAGCTAAAGCTTCTACGCTCGGTAAACCTAATAAGATAAAAATAAGCATTAGTGTAGTGGGGAAAGACTTTCCGTCACGTTACAATCAAAAATATCCCCTAAAACAGGAGACGGGTTGAGATTAAGCAGCTGCAGCCCCCAGCTCGTTTAAGAGGCAGCTGGAGGAGACCAGTTACAGGAGCAAGTATAGAATATGTAAAGGGGGGACACGTTTAACGTGCGATGGACTGAAGAGTTAAATACTGGACTGTCCTTCAAATGTAGCACGAGATGGTTCCTTGCAGTGAGCAGAGTGACCCCTATGTGAGTAGGACTTCAGTTATTGCAGGGGTCTGACAGGTTCGGTACCATTTACTGCCCTGGGCTTGTTTCACCAGCGTACTGACTGTGTGTAACTCCCTTTGCAACGGTTCTAAATGGCAGGCAGGGGAAAGTCTTCCAGTTAAAACGGATGAGGTTTGATTTAAAGCCCAGAGCCAAATCTAAGAACTTCGGGCTGGTGCCAGGCTATTTCCCATGAACGTGCTGCATGACTTTAGCGCAACATTATCACAAGTGGCCCCTCGTTCTGCATGCCCAGCTTGGGACAGGTGTTCAGCACTGGTGGAAGCCAAGCCCCAGTTCTCTGAGATGAGGCATCCAAGTCTGAGCATTGGACTGGGCCTAGCAGCCCTGGCTTCTGTTCCAGGCAAGTCAAGTCACCTCTCTGTGCCTGTTGCCCCTCCTACCCTTTGTCTTAGACTGCAAGCTCTTCAGGGCAGGGGTTGTTTCTCATGATGTATCTGTACAGAGCCGAGCACTAGCTGCTACTGTAATACAAATAACCTCTTGAAACCATTGGGATACCACCTCCCCGAGGAGTGAGAGTTCATGCCGTGTTTGTAAAGTGCTGTGAGATCCTCTGGTGGGAGCCCCTAGGAAAGTAGATGTAACTATTCATTATACATTAAAGGGGCACAGTCAGTCTCCTCACACTTGTACTGTTGCCACAAGAAGTACCAAAGATTATTGTAACAGATGGGTGGGGGGGAATAGTTTCATTTTGGCACTACAGGGCGAAGAGCAAGTCTGACTACACAATCTGTTGGTAGGGGGAAGGGAAATAATTGCAAAACCACACTGTGGCCAACCATGCCTCTCAACTATTCAGTGGATGGTGTCCCAGGCAAGAGAATTTCACCAGAGCAGGATCTAAACGCGCAGCGACAACTCTGATTTGACCCTGTCCCTGACAAGAAAAAGAGCGACCGAGAAATTGCAGCAGGCCTAAAACAAACATACTGACTCATGCACACAAACGAGGAGGTTGCAGTGGTCTTAGATGGAGAATTACATTTAAGATAGATCCGAGGAGCAGCCAGGGTGATCTGAATAAATAAGAGTGATGTCTGAGTGGAGAGGATACTAGCAAATGAAGTGAGCGGTGGGGTTTTGAATAGGCTGTAGAATTTGTCAAGAGACAGTAATTTTACTGACCACTAACTGAATGACGTGGAACAGAGCAGACTGAGTCAGTCAGCAGCGATAGCACCATGTAGGAAAATACAGGTTTTTTCCATAAGTGACATTTTGCTGACCACACCAACCCACTCAAATCAAAGGAAAATCTCACGCACTCCCTTCTCAAGCAGTCTTGGTGTGAGACTTGACTAGCCAAGGCACAAAATCTACTTGCCCGACATCACCATGATGAAAACAGAGACTAATATTCTAGTGGTCTGCTGAGAGTACAATCTTGCACAGCTGTGCTAAAGCCACCATCTAAGTAGGCATCAGAAACCAGGTCTGCCCCACTGAAAGAGGATGGCAGCCTTCTCAAGCCTCACAAAAAGGAAGTGAAATGTACGGCTGGAAGGGATCTCGAGAGGTCATCAAGTTCAGCCTGCTGGGCTGACTTGGTAAGACGGGTAACTCCATTTAGATGTTCCACTCCCTTACAGTGAACCTGCTTTGGATTAATTATGGCAAAACGAGGATAAGAGAGGGAAGAAAACTCTGAGGACATTCCATCATCAGCTCTTTACAAACAATTTAGCATCACAATACACATCGGAAGTAAATAAATTTAAGTATCTTCATTATACACCAGGGGGTAGAGGTAGTAGCAAAATGACTCTCCCCATGTCACAAAGCTAGGAGAAGCACCCAGTTCCCCAGATACTGTCAACTTCTCCCTATTGTAAATAAACTAAATTGTTTACTCATGGTTCTCCTATTACTCTAAGGCCCCCATTCCGCAAGTAAATCAGCGTGCAGGACCAGCGCCTACATTTCTTTAAAACCCCAATTCTTTCTGCTGTATTTATCAAGGCCATTTTACTTCCTGCATTTCAGCTCGAATAATAAATAATAATAATAAATTAATGGAGATATCCCATCTCCTAGAACTGGAAGGGACCTTGAAAGGTCATTGAGTCCAGCCCCCTGCCTTCACTAGCAGGACCAAGTACTGATTTTTGCCCCAGATCCCTAAGTGGCC